TCAGTTTCAAAGCTCCCTTTACAACCTTTGAGTTTTATAAAAAAAAAATATATATATATATATATATATATATATATATATATATATATATATAAAACTCAGATTACAGAAAGTATTGTCTACTTCAAGTGTTTACTTCTGATGGTATTGGCTTATAGCTCATGAAAACCCAAATTTCAGTTTTTATTGAAAAGTATTTCCATGTACTGCTAAAAATAAAGTCTCAGTACTCGGTCTGGCCTTGTTTTCCCTAAAGTACTGTAGTGATGACAACGTGATCAACCTTGGGTCTGCTGAGATGCTATAATGTCCAAGTTGCTTAGATAGCAGCTTTCTGCTAGTCTGCCTTCTTAGTTCTCGTCTGTCATCTTGCTCTTGTCAATACTCCATAAATTCTTCATGTGGTTTATGCCATTATCAAACACAGCAGTAGCATTAATCAGGTATCTGTATTTCTGGCAGAACGTTTGTCTGCAGAGACACACAAAGTGTTTGAACATACCTAGCATAGCATAAATGGCTATGCTAACCTGACTAAATGCAAGCTGAAATTTTAGCTTACTTTTTATAATAGTATGGCCATAAAATTCATGTATTAATATGTACTTATTTTTTAATATTCCTTACATATCATTCAAAGATAATTTTTATGATTTCATTAGCTGCTAGCCATAATCATCAAAATTAAGAAAAAATAACCACTGTGTGTAATAAACGTGCAACAGTTTGAATGTTTGAAAAGCTAATAAAAAGACTCGCCCGTCTTCAGCCGGCCCTCACAAGATCTCCTGTTTATCCGTTTCAGGTTTGCACAGATGAGGAGTGAGCGGCGCCTTCCCTTTGGCTTTTCACGTTTACAAACTGAAGCACTACTGTACATGCTGTTTGGCAAAAGAAAAACAAACTGTGGACGCAAGAGGGAGTTATGGCTCAAGGCACATCGAGTTAAACTGAGGAACTAACACATTATCATTTCAGAGGACAACTGGATCTATGAATTAAATGTGTCTTTATGTAGCCATGGTTTGTGGTGGTATTGTACATACTGTAAGAATAGGATTGGCCTCAATTCATGTATAAAACAATGTTGTAAAGTTAAAAGTAATTACCACATATATTTCACTGTTGACATCTATAAAAAGGCAATGAGGAATACTTTTTTTTTTAATTGGACGGAGGATGGGGCGCATCTATAGCACTTTTAAACTGTATATCCAAGGGGAAAGCCAAGTAGAAAAGGAGGGAACCTGAGTGAGTCACCATAAAGTAAAAATGTGGCTACCCTCTGTGAATGAAAGAAGGCAATAGTTTCCCTTTATTAAATGAATGCCATCCAAATATTTAAATATTTTTTATTACTTATTCTGAACGTTTGGGCAATAAGAAGGATTATTTAGTGTGTTTTCTTTGCCTTTTTGCTGAGGAGAAATTGTCAAGTTGGAGCAACGTTCAAGTCTACTGGTCACTGGTGATGAGCTGCCCGTGTGACTGTGGCGTAGCCAACTCAAAGGAGAAAACAGGACCGGCTATTCCTCCCTGCTGCTGAACACAACACACATGCATACACACACATTGACATACTCCAGAACTTGTGGTCCTCTGCTGCTCCCACAGTGTTTGCTATGTAAAAACAATATTAATAAACCAATTATTGTTTTCAGTAACTTTTCATCTCAGAATTGGACTCATTATTACAAGAAACTATCATATGGTTGTTCTAAAATACAAAGTTAAACTTCTCCACCACGCTTGTGTTTTTTTTGACAGTCAAATTAATCTAAAACTCAAATCCTGAAACACTTTTGAGTTGTGCAAATGTCACTTAAGCATGCTTTATCGTGAAGTGTGTAGTTATTTACATGACAAATGAACGCTGGCGGGAGTCTGCCACTGATCATCTTCCTGTGTGAAACAAGTTCTAGGAAATGAATTTGTAAACCGTTTAAGTCAAATTCACTTTCCTTGCAAGTTGGCTAGTTACTAAACTATAAATCCATTTGTCCTGTAAGAACCTCAGCGGTTTGTTAGAAAACATTAGTGAACGAACAACAAAAACACTCCTGCAGGTTAGGGACCAACATTGTGGGAAGGTTTAGGTCATTGTTGGGTTGTAAAGTAATATCCGATGCTTTGAAAACCTTAGAGGTTACAGAGCACTGTTCAATCTAGATCTGAAAATAAGGGCTGGCACAACTGCAAACCTGCAGCGACAAACACCTGATCCTACAGGCTTGGTAAGAACAGGATTAATCAGAAAAGTAGTTAGGAGGCTCACGGTAACACATTTCAGAGATTCTGTAGACGGCACAATTGATTATAAATCTGGAATTAATAGACCAGGAACAAAATAATCCATTTAGAAGTATTACAGTTTTCATAAACTGCATCATTTTTTTTTAGTCTGAGACCAAAATTGAACTTTCCACCCTACATGCAAGATGTGTGACTAAAAGCTGACACTGCACACCACCTTCAACGCAATATTTCTACCATGAGACATTGCATTAGCAGAATCATGGTGTGCTGAAATGATCTAGCGTAAAAGCGATGTCTATTCCCTCTGTCTCCTCTTTGGAGACATCCTTGCATTACACCTCAGTTCTTTTTCTTTTCCAGTCATGTCATTGTAATCTTGTGCTTGAGGTCACAGTTTTCTGTCTGCCCTTACTTTCTAAAAGGCTTCACCTGATGGACAGATGGCCTTTCATATGACGGAAAATTTTAGTGGAAAAAAAAAAAAACCCTCCCTTGTGATTGTTTTGTCAACTTCTTGCCATTATAGTGCAATGACTCCAAAACAAGCCTAAATCATCCCCCACACCTCTTCCTGACTTCAGTGGTTGAGGTGTTAGTACTGATATGCCTTGATTTAGCTCTGTGTATTATGACCAGACAGCTGAACACAGTCGCTTCAAATGCCTTGTGGTTTATCCAGTTTATGCAGGTTTGTAACTAAGCTGTACTCTATTTGGAGCAAAAAGACCATCTCCTAGCAACTCATCCAGAAAAACAATACATGTTCAGTCTTTATCTCAACTGTAACGTCTTAACTGAAAGTGACAGAGCTTTAGATCTGATCAAATATATCAAGTAAATGTGGCTTCTGCTTAATGTTTTGGTTACTACAAAAGAGTAAAAATGGAATCAGTTATTTGAACCTTGCATTATATTTTAGCTCAGTTTTATATATATATATATATGAATTGATTATGCATGTTTCAGTGAGGTCAGGATCTGATCAATTCCAGGCAACGTTCCAAAATTTTACCGCTCTACGGTCTTTGAAAGCCTTTATCACTTTTCCCTCATAAAACAGTGCCTTATGTCCTAGATCACCTCATTGTGCCTGAATTGTTGGAAGAAGTTGCTGTTTAAGGAAGTTTTTTTTGTGTGTGAAAGTGTTCATTGGATAGATTCTATCAGGATGCTTCACATTTGGCATAACAGGCTTTGAGGTCAAACCCACTTTTTCCACTTTAGACAAACGAGTTCCCAGATTTACCTAAGAATGACTCATCAAAAAAAAAAAAAAACCTTTGCACTGCCTGATTGAAGGTTGAATAAACTACATTGGTAGCAATGCAATTCTGCAGCAAAGTCAACAAGAAATGGTTCCGTGTCGGTTGGGCTGTAGTGAATATTCTGAACCCATCTGTAATTTGGCCTCACTTTCAATTTTTTTTTAGATTTTTAGGCCACTTTGATGAAAAGCAATAACACCATCATCACAATCCGATATTTTTAAGCCCGTCTGACTCTCTTATAATAACTCAGTTGTTTAATATAGGGATTCAGATATTACCTGAAATTAAAGATCCGAACCACCACTCTGCAGCAAGTCCAGCTGAATTTAGGGCAATTTGACTAACTCCGGCTTCAAGAGGACAAATGAGTGATTCCTATTTTGGGACGTGTAGTTAAATATTAACAGTCAGTAATACAGATATCGGCCCCTCTCACCCACAGGCAGCACCTGATTTACAGGAAAGTAGGAGGCACTTGAACTGAGATCTCACCAGTTACTGGAGGGCTTTCATGTTGCAAAAACCTGTAAGACAGCCACTTCCTCATGACAAACGCCTGATTAGGAGAAATGACACCAGGATTCACTCCCACACCAACAGCTCAGCTCCTGCTTCGTGTTTTTCTAAGGCATGTCATCAGCTCTTCCCACCAGGACTTAATAACAATGTTTCAGAAATAAAAACTCTGGTGATTATCACTGTTGTCAAGCTGTAACAATCTCCAGACATGCCACTGCCCTTGCACTTTGGGAGTTAGCTGCAGCTATTACAAGAAAATAAAAGAATTAAAAAAAACAAACAAAAAAAAAACACACCTTACTCTCCCTAAACCACAGACTGACTCAACTCTTGTGCAATCCTGGACACTTCTGTAAGCTCTAAGCAAACTGTCTAGTGTTTTAACCATAAACAAACCAATGCTAATGTGAGGCTTATCTTAGCATGCAACAACTGCATTCAAAAATCACATTAATGAGTAAACATGGGTGTTTTATGTACTCTCAGTAGAAACACTGCAGTTAATGAAAACCAAGTGACGGCTGAATCAAGTCAATACAAGCCAATTGTACGAGAAAACCTGTCAGACGTCACAATAGTTGTGGGGCGGTGGTTCACCTTCTGGCTGGATGGCAACTCCAACTATGCAGCCAGAGCTGTAATGAACTGGCTTTGATCAGAGAAGTCAAAAGTGCAGCTCAAGAGTGATTTTATGTCCCCCCCGCACCCCCGAACACAGTTCAAGAATTAAATTAATTTGGCCCACCAGTACATGCATTTTAGTTACATTTTTACCAAGAAAAATGACAGGTCACAGCATACTCATGTTTTAGAATGTCCCAATCAAAGAACACATAACTTCCACTGAGAACCAGAAGTAAGGCTTTGATATATAAACTTTTTTTCATGCAAATTGTGCATTCCTGTCCTTTTTGTGTGCAGTCTACTGCATAAAATTCTAAGAAAACGCACAACTTGTAGTTTCAATAAAAATCAAGTCTTTATTAATATTTTTGAAATTCAATACGTCTTAAAATAAGGTCGAGCTGTGAAAAAGCTATACGAGCATCTACTGCACTTGCACGTTGAGTTTGACTCGTCTTTATCGTTTAGATTTAAATGTCAACTCAAAGCCTTCGGGGAGTGTTGTTGCCGTTGACTGATTTTACTGGAGCCAGGACAAAAAATAGAAATGAAGAGAGAAAAAGGCCCACAGATGCTGAACAAAACCTTAACATGTAAAATAGCATCACTATCTTAAAGTACAAATGCCACTTGATGTACACTTCAGTCGAAGAGGTAGTCTACATTTGGCTTATTGCAATTTCAAATTTCGGTTTCCTTTGTACTGTTAAAATATTTCCACTCAGATAAGTTAACCCACACCATGTTTCCATTTCTGCAGCTTCCATTTTAGCTTCTGCAGCACAGCTTTAAGCCCGGCTGTGTTGTGCCATGAAACAAGTCTGTACTTGTTATACCAGTCAAGTTACTGTTCACCTAACATTTTTGCATCTGGCAGCTTCCAAGTCTGTGAATCTCCACAAAGCAGCCCGGAAGACAGCAGCAATCCTTAATTGTTGTTTAGAGCAGCAGCCTTAATCCCATAGTTTGAGCTTTTGTCAATCTCAGTCTGGCCAATCATCCAGCGCATTCCCATTGACACTGCAAGAGAAAAGAGCTTATTTATAATGCGACTGCATCTGGTCAGTGTCAGCAGATTTTGTAAAGAATATTTTTATTTCCACAGAAAATGCATTTTTAATGAATATTTCCAAAACACTCCTTTTTCTGAAATTAGTTGTCAATTGTGTTAACATTTTTGTTGTAACAAGTCACATCATCAAATGTTTAATATTGTGTTGACATCTGAACGTTTGTCATTTTAATATCAACACTGGGAAGAGCATTCCCTTTATTGTGGAAAATGTCGTGAAGTAACATGCTTCTCATGAGCTCATGGCGTTACAGAAATAGTTTTTGGTTTACTCCTTATTCAGATGGACGACTGTGTAACTTTGTGAAATAAACACATGCCTGAATGTTGTTAAGAACATGCTCCTCATACAGAGACATCTATATTTTTACAAAAAATGGGAACTTACACTGGGGGATGTCAAATCTGATGCTAGCAAAATGTTTGGACAGAAAAGAGCTGGTTAATTTGAGAAATTATTTACTACAGCCAAATTCTGAAAACATGCGTACAACTTAATTAGAAAATCTATATATATTATTTTAATGTGAAATCCAAATGTTATTTAAATTAAATACACAGAGTATATACCAAGTTATTTAAGTAAGTATGGCTGACATTAAATGAAAAAGCAGATTAAGCTTCCTAGAAAATTAGAAAATACTACTTAAGTTTAACAAAAACACCTTAAGTTCAGAAAGGCTAAGTTACACCCCATGCAATTGTGCGGAGGACTGACTGCTACAATTGGTCACCAGAGAGGCAAAAACTGAATGCTAAAGAAGCTGGCTCCTTTCAGGGTGTTGTGTCATAATACATCAATGGAAAGTTGAGTGGAAGGAAAATGTGTTGTAGAAAACGTCGCACAAGAAACAGGAAGTCTTGAGAGAATGTATTTATTTATTCTTTTAACTGAATGACTAAACCAAATGTTTGACAATTACCTAAGTTATTGAGATACTTATGGAAAGGTATGAAACCAACCTGCAGAGCACACAACCACAGCTGCGGCGATGGTGAGCACTGCCCCAGAGCTGAGCAGTTGGGCAATTAAGAGGCCGAGAGGGTAAAGGACCACACAGGACCAGAAGAGCCAGTTGATCAGGGACCACGGCCGACGTGGGGGGCTCACAATGGGGCCAGGGAAACGCCCCGTCTGTGCGTACTGCTCCTGAAAGCCGTCCTGTTCACACACAAACACAGCCCAACATGTGTTTATTCTTGGTAGAATAAACGACTTGTTTTTACAGGCGTGTTGCGTGTTGATGGGCCCGTCTTAGCACAAACCCTCCCCACCCCCGACCCATTGAAGCACACCAGTTTCACCACGTTTAGCTTTCTGACACAAGTAAAGAACGGTATAGAGACTACCAGTGTTTATAGCAGTCAGGACTTCTATTGTCAACATACAGAGTCTCTATAGGTGTAAAAAATATAGAACATTCGTTCTCTAGAAATGGTGTAATCATAAGCATCTTTGATCAATATTTCTGTGCGACAACCTGAAAGAGTAAAAGATGACTGAATTCACTGCACGACCTTACAGTCTTCAAAGCAAGATTTACTGTAGTTTACATTTCTAAATTCAGTAAATGAACATACCTTGCATGGACAGTACAAGTGGACACCTCCTTTATTGTAGCGTCTGGCATACATAGAGGTCACTTGTTTATTTTGACAGTTTTTTTGTTGTTTTTTTTTGCTGCACATACACATTTAACAGACTTCCAAAGCTGTTTTTGTCAGAGGCCTGATTGCCAATGAGAGACAGCCAAACTGTAGATTTTGAGTTGCATTACAGACCATCATGTTACAGCAGAAGTTATTGTTGTCGTCATCCGCTTTCTTACAATTAACCATGTTTCCCGAATGAAAGTTTTTTTTTAATCTGAACTCATTCTACATTTTTGTGGTGAAAAACTTGATTTGCCTTTGATTGTTCTTGGTCTGTAACATCCTCCAGGGAGTATTCAGGGGTCAAAGAGAGGTCTTTGCTTTTATGACCTTCCTATGAAAAAGTTTGTGAGATATTTCAACTGAACCTCAATGACTCACATTGACCGCCCTTTCTAAAAAGCTTTCCAGATGGAGAGGGAAAAAAATCCCAGGGGGAAAAAAAGCTTCTTTTTTTTTTTTTTTTTTACAACTACTGCTATTTTAGATTTATCAACTGTTTTTCCACAATGATTGTCTGTTATATTAGTTATTGTTTAATAAGTTGGTCTTGTACAGGCAGTATGACTTTATTGCATCTGGAATCATTACACAAATAAGCACTTATATTTTTAAATAAAGAACTCTAGCTTCTTAAATTCAAATGCATAACCTGTGATTTTTTTTTTTTTTTTGTGTGTATAATCTATAAGATTCTGTATTGAAATGCCTTTCCTTTTGTCCGACTTTGAATCAACTGTGAACAGAACTGGAGGAGAACATCACTCAGACATTCATTTTATTTTAGAGCCTCACATCAGGCAATACAGCAGAATCACGGATGCCTCTTAGCGTCTTATATAAACTGAAATATCACAACCTGGTCCTCGTTTTGTTTAAATATTAATATCAATACTTAATATCTTATTATTGTTTACTTGAATCTTATGTGATGGATGCTCATTTACAACATGTGCAGGGATTTCCCCCCCAAAAAACTAGCATTCTGGAAAACGTGGGTGCATTTATGTCTTCATTGAAGTAAAATATTCCAATTGAATAAAGAAAAGAAATGGCTACTTTTGATGATAATTTGATCAATAATATTCTGATTCTATGACATTTGAGTCAATCCTTTGTTTAGGATCAAAACCGATAATGACAACAACAGCATGAAACCAGGACAGGCTGACCTTTAACCTTCTTATATAATAAACATGTCTGATTCATTGGTTTATCTGCATATCCTATGTATATGAATATTACTTTCCAACTAAAGCTACATGTATTTTAGCCTACTTATGTCTTCTTTTTAATCCCCAACACTCACCTTTTCTTGGTAAAGTTTGTGTAGCCAGGCGGCACACTCCGCCTCATCTTCTGGAACGGACTCTAAAGGAATCCTCCTACATTAGACAGGAAGGAGACAGGCCACCAATCACCCAGACAGGAATCCTAAAGCTATAATCTTGCCCTGCACAGGCATACAACCTTTTGTCCTACCTGACATATAAATCTGCATGATATTTCTTTCCGTTGAGAATCCCAAGAAGAGTCGGTACTTCACTGTTCCTGAAGTTTAGTGTTGAATCGTAAATAGCTGCAGCTGCACCAGGAAAGCACAAAGCAGCGGTTCAATGGACGAGGTGACTCATTTGCACATTTATCTGGCTTTTCCCACATTCAAACAAAGCTTGCAGTATGGACATTTCTGATGACACCATGCAAAAAAAAAAAAAAAAAAAAAAGAAAGAAAAAAGAAAACTGTTGTCAGATACTCACCAGTCCCCCTGAGGTTTTGGACAGTTACATAAAATCCTTTGGTTCTGGGAAGAAGATGGTACTTGAGTTTAGGTAAACCCTTGCTTTCAGCTACTTGCATGCTGAACTGGTGTTTCTTTGGGGTAAAGCGTGTTCCTTCACAGTAAAGCAGGAACTTGTGGGAGAAAGAGAAAAAATGTTTTCAGGCATTTCCCAAACATTTCCTGATTGAAAGACATTACTGTGTCATCTTGATCTGGAAAAAAAATAATAATAGACTGAGACCCACCCAGTAGTTTTCAGGGTAATCCCGCAGTTTCTGCAGGCTCTGAGCCACGGTTGTCCGGTCCTCCTCCCACTTCCTTTTGCAGAAAACTATCTCGAGGAAATACCACATCCAGCCAATCACTGGAACATAGGCCAGCTCCTTTTTGGCCAAAACTTTTGAACTCTGGAAGTTTAAAGCATAATATTTTTTTTTTTTTTTTAGGGTTGAACAGAGAACTTGAAACAAACTTTGGGGTTCTCAGCAGAATTTCATCTTACCCCAAGAACTCCAAATCTCTCACAGAAGGTCCAGCCGCACAGAAAGTCTATCTCAAAACTGTGGTTGAGGACCACAATAGCATTCTCTTTTCCATAGAGTGGGTAGCTCTTTGGATCGGTATAGAGCGTGCATTCTGTCCCAGACCACCACTCTAGGGCAGCTACCATCTCTAAAGTTTATAGGGACACAGTCACACAAACAGGCACAGGTAAGTGTACCACTTAAGAAATATGATGGAGGGGGTTAAATATTAATTTTTAATTAAATGGAATGTTTAATTATGCATTCTACAGAAACATTTTGATGAGACTTTAACTGAGGAAGCCGATTTAGTTAACTGTTGGCTACTTTCATTCATCTTGTATTTCATTTACGGTAAATGTCTTTTCACAATAAAGTTCTGCACAGAATTATTCATGCAAATCTTCCTGGACAGGATTTATGTATATTGTTATAACTTTCTTGATTTAATTCCAACATTGTCTTGTCAGTGTACTTGCTTCTTAAAGCTACCTTAAACTTTTACAATAACATTTGTGCAACACTGCTTGGATTTTTTTTTTTGCTTGACTTGCTGCAACATCAGCTTCTTCCTCCAGAAGCAAAGCAAACAAAGGAACAACAGAAAACGCATTACAGTGTCATCTTTGTTGGAGAGAGGTCAGTACTTACGGCTTGCAATGCAGTAGGCCAGTCTGATGTTTATCTTGCGGGCCAGCTGCTTACTGACCAGCCACAGAGGTAAGGTGCAGATCTGTATCAGATTGACAATAAGTCCGCTCACCAGGAACACATAGCACATGATCAGGTGGCACAAAAATTGGGACTTTAAAAACTGCAGCAGCCCCATCCTTCTGCTAAAGAGAAAAAGTTTTAAACAAAAATAATTATGTAGCAACATATTTCCTTTTTTTTTGTTTTTTTAAAATCATACAAGACTATCAGCTGGTTCTCTGGGCCATCACTGCACACAATGCTTTGCAAAAGTATCAGAAGCACAGATTTCAATGTATTTCATTTCAATTTTTATGTGACAAACTCAAGATAATTCATTCTTCTGAAGTGCAAATATTTTTTTCTTTTTAATTTCCTTACAATTTATTTTCTTTACATCATAAAATACAGTGAAAATAACTGCTTTCAGAAATTATCAAGGCAATATTCAAAGCTAAATCAAAGTAAAACGTCAATCCGTCTACTTGAGGCGCTTCAGCTTCCAGCAGGATAAAGACCCACAGCATACAGCAACATCAGGGGTGTCAAACTCCAGTCCTCAAGGGCAACTATCCTGCAGTTTTTAGATGTGCCACAGGTACAAAACACTGAAATGAAATGGCTTAATTACCTCCTTCTTGTGCAGAAGCCTGCTAATGACCTAATTATCCTATTCAGGTGTGGTGCAACAGAGGCACATCTAAAAGTTGCAGGGCAGCGGCCCTGCAGGACTGGAGTTTGACACCTGTGGTTTAGATCACAGCATATTTATGGGTTAAAATGGCCCAGTCAAACTCTGGGCCTGAATCCAATTGGACTAATACAACTAATTTGACAAAGCTTGAGCTATTTGTGACCTTCCAACTGCAACTGCAGGGAAAGATATGGTTTTATAACGTACTGACATATGTGGGTTTAATGACGACACACTTCTCAAAGTTGCATTAAAGCAATACTTTGAAAAGTCATGTATCATTTTCCCTCCACTTTAGCAGTGCACTACTCTGTGTTGGTCTTTCACAATAACATACACTGAAGTTTGTAGGTGCAAAGTGACAAAATGCGAAAAAGTTCAATGAGTATGAAAAGTATCGCAAAGCGCCGTCTGCCGTTTTATTTCATAAAGGGTTTCTTTGAGCTTTGTTTAATGAATGAAGAATTTGAACTGAGCCGTGAACTAACAACCAATTTCAGAGCAAACATTTGCTCGGAAGAGAACACATGACTTGGAATGGAATGAGAAATTGTAACCGTGAACTCAACAGCTTTTGTGTGGTTTTGTAATTTCCTTAAGGAGAAAATTGTTTAAATACTTGCTATTATTATTGTCTGGACAGAGACCCAAGTTTAACAGCTGTTTCGGGTATGGTTTACGAAGCAACCTCTGTTTATACGATCACTTCAATATTCAATATCTCTGTCTGGGAAGAAAAAATATATATATAATTTGTAATGAACCTCACCTTCAGGTGAAACAAACAAATGCCCCTCTATCCTCCAGTAATCCTGCCTCGGAGACCTTCAACTCCCAAAAACAATATAAAAGAATCACTGAAGATCCATGCCACCGGGATTTTTCTGCTCTTCCTCTTCAGATTTATGTCATGATTACTTCACCGTGATGGATTCATCACCTCACTGACTGGTGACTGCTAACATTTCCCCACATGTGCCGCCACACCCATTGAAAAGCCACGCCTGAATTGAAAACATAACGACGTCCGTACCCGTGTGCGTACGTGCGTGGTTGAGAACTCCGCCACTTTCCAGATCGCTTGGATTAAACAAAGATCGTCAATTTCTGTAATTGACGCGTATTTACTCCGGAAACCCGCAGTCGCCATGGTAACAACTATTGTAAAGAAAACAAAAATAACCCCTCTTTTTACATTTGACCCACCGACTGATTTTAATTATTATATTTTTAGGTAATTTTTAGTGTATTACATTTGATTAGTATTATAGTTCCATGTTTTTTTATGCAAAGTTCGCAATGTTTTCCGTTGCTGATGTATGTGTATTTGTCCGGAAAAAAATAACAGAGTGAGACTTCTGCAAATTTTCTTCCTCTTTGCTTTGACTCTATTCGCTCACAGGAACGGCACGAGTCGAAAAGCGAAGTGCAGGATATGCGCTTTTTAAAAATTATTTTCGTCAGTTTTGATTATTATTAAACCAAAGTGTTAATGAAATTATGATCAGTAAACGTCTGCTGAAGTATTCAAATAGTTTTGAATAGTTATGAAAATAACTTGGCAAAATTTTAGGTTTACAAACTGAAGATTTTACAAAAAAAAAGAGAAAGGTTTATGAAATGAAAAGTAAATTATATAGTCATCATTCACAGAAAAGAAAGGCAGTCTGATGCATCTTAACTTAAATTAAAATCATTTTATGTATTTTCCAGTTTCAGACACTAGGGGGAAATAAAGATGCATTAAACACATTTCCACCAACGCACGCACATTAAAGTTTTGTCTGCAAAAAGTATGATTCATTTGGATGTTATCTTCACTCCAAATCAAACAATATTTTGTAGGTTTTCTTTGTAACGCGAATCCGCCCGAATGGATTGTAATGGGTCTTGTATTTCATTTTGAGGGGAGCCTCACTGGGAAGTATTTCTAAACTCTCTTTTTAAAGATCCCACATTGCCAAATAATGACTGCAGTGGTCCGAACGTACCGTGAAGCGGTTCAGGAAACTCTCCGTGTTCAAACAGCAAACCCAAATCTTGAAAGGGCTCAAAGGAATAATGTTTAAGCAGTGCAAAACTTTTTGTTACTGGTGTCATCGAGTGCAGCAATTTCACACTGTGAGAAGTGAGGGACATAATTAAAAACTGCCTCAGTTATCTGAAATTCCTTTTACTTCATGGTGTGGCCAAAGACAACATTAAAGGCTGACCTCTAGTAGTGAACACCCTTTTTTCTTTTCTCTCTCTTCTTTTTTTTTTTTTTTTTTTTTTTTTTTTTTAAATTTCCTCTTCGAA